GTCTCTGCTAGCTCTCCTCAATGGTCTCTGCTAGCCCTCCTCAATGTGTCTCTGCTAGCTCTCCTCAATAGTCTCTGCTAGCTCTCCTCAATGGTCTCTGCTAGCCCTCCTCAATGGTCTCTGCTAGCCCTCCTCAATGGTCTCTGCTAGCTCTCCTCAATAGTCTCTGCTAGCTCTCCTCAATGGTCTCTGTTAGCCCTCCTCAATGGTCTCTGCTAGCTCTCCTCAATGGTCTCTGCTAGCTCTCCTCAATAGTCTCTGCTAGCTCTCCTCAATGGTCTCTGCTAGCCCTCCTCAATGGTCTCTGCTAGCTCTCCTCAATGGTCTCTGCTAGCCCTCCTCAATGGTCTCTGCTAGCTCTCCTCAATAGTCTCTGCTAGCTCTCCTCAATGGTCTCTGCTAGCCCTCCTCAATGGTCTCTGCTAGCTCTCCTCAATGGTCTCTGCTAGCTCTCCTCAATAGTCTCTGCTAGCTCTCCTCAATGGTCTCTGCTAGCCCTCCTCAATGGTCTCTGCTAGCTCTCCTCAATAGTCTCTGCTAGCTCTCACAATGGTCTCTGCTAGCCCTCCTCAATGGTCTCTGCTAGCTCTCCTCAATGGTCTCTGCTAGCTCTCCTCAATGGTCTCTGCTAGCCCTCCTCAATGGTCTCTGCTAGCTCTCCTCAATGGTCTCTGCTAGCCCTCCTCAATGGTCTCTGCTAGCTCTCTCAATAGTCTCTGCTAGCTCTCCTCAATGGTCTCTGCTAGCCCCTCCTCAATGGTCTCTGCTAGCTCTCCTCAATGGTCTCTGCTAGCCCTCCTCAATGGTCTCTGCTAGCTCTCCTCAATAGTCTCTGCTAGCTCTCAATGGTCTCTGCTCAGCTCTCCTCAATGGTCCCTCTGCTGGCTCTCCTCAATGGTCTCTGCAGCCCTCCTCAATGGTCTCTGCTAGCCCTCTCAATGGTCTCTGCTAGCTCTCCTCAATGGTCTCTGCTAGCTCTCCTCAATGGTCTCTGCTAGCTCTCCTCAATGGTCTCTGCTAGCCCTCCTCAATGGTCTCTGCTAGCTCTCCTCAATAGTCTCTGCTAGCTCTCCTCAATGGTCTCTGCTAGCCCTCCTCAATGGTCTCTGCTAGCTCTCCTCAATGGTCTCTGCTAGCCCTCCTCAATGGTCTCTGCTAGCTCTCCTCAATAGTCTCTGCTAGCTCTCCTCAATGGTCTCTGCTAGCCCTCCTCAATGGTCTCTGCTAGCTCTCCTCAATGGTCTCTGCTAGCCCTCCTCAATGGTCTCTGCTAGCCCTCCTCAATGGTCTCTGCTAGCTCTCCTCAATGGTCTCTGCTAGCTCTCCTCAATGGTCTCTGCTAGCTCTCCTCAATGGTCTCTGCTAGCCATCCTCAATGTTCTACGTTTGTTGTGCTTTTCTGCCTCGCTGGCTTCTTCGCCCTTTCCGGGTCAAACATCTTTTCCTTTAGGACCTTCTCCCCTTCTTCTTCTTCTCTCCATAATTCTGAAATCGATGTCCCCCCTCCCCTTTTTCCACTCTCATTTCTAATCCGCCCTACCCCCATGTTGTCTGTTGTTTGTGTGCGCAAAGAAGGCGCATAGCAACAGCCCCCACCCTCGCTGTTGTAAATAATATATTGCTAGCTTTTCAAAGGCGGCTTTTTGCAATTTAAAAAGTCGGAGCGCTTAACTATATTCTTGTGGTTTATTTTGATTTTTTGGGGGTATTTTTCAGCTTTTTCAGCTTTTCTAGGCTTTATGTTTTTGCCAGAATTCGATCTTTCAAACAGCATTGTGGTGTCCATTTATTGTTGAGAATTAGTCAATAAAAATGCTATTTTATTAATGAACAGAAAAAGGCAGATTCCAAGGTCTTCGCAGCGCGACGCAGCGATTCCGGCCAATTGGTACTCATCTCGGGGGCTTCCCCAATTCTCTCGATAAAGACAAATCGACCCCAAGGTCATCCTATCGCTCTCTCTCTCTCTCTCTCTCTCTCTCTCTCTCTTTCTCTCTCTCTCGTTCTCTCGACCTACCAGCCGGTGGATCTTTCCTATCAAGCCAAGCGTGGGTGTGATATGTTGTGAGCAGCTCCTGACCACCTCTGCGATTTTCTCAATGCTGCTCATATTTGACCCCGATCTTCCGGTTGAGCACGAGGTTGAGCATGAGCTAGTTCGAAATAAGGCTCACTTACTCGATTTTTAGCTAAATTCTGCGCTGACTGACAGCTCGTTTGGACCAGATGTCAGAAAAGTCTATCTTTTTTCCTTAGTCTACTCTGTTTTTTTGCTATGGTTTTTGAGGACCGCCTTTACCTAAATCTTCAAAGACTATAAATTTAAAGGCTCGAAATCTTCAAAAATTCCCAACAATATCACCGCAAAATGTGGTGGCGGCTAATCGAATTACCCACTTGCCGGCGTGCCCAAGACATTACGAGCGTTTTTACGGCTCGCCTCGCCGTGATTCAGCAGTTCAGCAAATTTTTTGGTCATTTTTGTCTTTGCAAGGCCGAGAAAAATTTGCTTTTTAGTTTCCAATTTTTCACCTGAAACACACATTTGCCGGTACCAATCCGGAACCTACGCACCGCCCAACCCGCTATATTTGCCGTGCACCGCCGGGCTTATGCAAATAGGGGCGGGCACTTTGACGTTGTTGCCGGCCACCCGGACCGTCCTTTTGATATTTCGGATTGATTGCTTCGAATTGGCTTTCGAATTTGGCAGAAAAAAAACATTTAAATCATACCATAAAATTGGGCCTACATATTTTTTCGATTTATCCAAATTAGAGGCGAGAATGAGTGAGGGAGACAGTGAGAGAGAGAGAGAGAGAGAGAGAGAGAGAGGTAGAGAGAGAAAGAAAAAGACAGAGAGAGCGCGAGAGACAGACAAAAATTATCTCATTTTATAATTTTGACAAATTTCTGTAAATCCGCATTGTCCGCAATTTCACTTTTTGTATGCTCATTTCCGAATTGAGATCGAATTTTAAAACCTCGGATTTCCAGAAAAAAGCACAAGCTTTTTTTGCTACCCGAAAAAACATCTATATTCTCTTTGTGTCCGTCTTGTGTCTGTGTCTATGTAAAAACCGGAATTCTTCTATGCCAAATGTAGAACTCGTAACGACAGAACTTTGGAGTTACGCGTGTTTCCTAGAAGCGGTATGCCGTAGAAATTTGGTTTGAAGCTGGTAGATCGGCAATGCGGCGAGGGCGAGGGCGAGAGAGAGTGAGTTCGTAAGAGAGAAAGAGCGCGAGAGACAGGAAGAGAGCGAGAAAAAGAGAGCGAGAGCGGAAGATAGAGACAGCGAGAGAGAGAGAGAGAGAGAGAGAGAGACAGGAGAGAGAGGAGAGCGAGAGAGAGAGAGTGTGAGATAGCGTGTGACATCCAATTTTTTACTCCAAATTTCCATGCCCAGATCTATAGCCAGAACTACACAACCGGGTTTGCTCGGTGTCCAGACTTTGGCATTATGAGCCCCAATGCAAATAGAGAGCTAGAAAAACTTCGCAAAATTCGTGCCCGCACTTAGCGCTGACTAACGCAACGTTTTTCTGATTTTTTTCCGGGTAGCACTGGTCAAATAGTTTTTGAATTCGGACTCCCCGCTGCCCTCAACTAGCCCCCTTCAATAGAATGGGGGGAATGGCTGACCGCACACACAGCCACCGGTAAATATTTTCTTTTTCTGGCTGTCCGTTTCTCTGTCGCTCTCAGTCTCTCTCTCTGCCTCTCTCTCGCTATCTCTCTTGCTCCTTTTCCCATTTTGCCACTCAAAAACCCGCGGCTCCCACACCCGTCGCATACAACGGATTAGCACACTGCACCCGGCGAGTTGACGAGTTTTTGCACCAGAAAAACCTTTTTTGATGGATCCCCAGCGTTTCAGCTGCATTTGACAGCGTTTTAATGTGCTTCCATATGGTTTTCTGGCTGTTAAAAGGTTTTTTAAACACTTTGTTGTTTTTTGTTGATGTTTAAAAGTATGGAATCTTTAAAAATAAAGCATTTCAAATTGTTGTTATCTTGAATTTTTGAAAGTTTAGGCATTTTTTAGCTTTTTAATGCGCAAATCGCTAAATTTGATAAGTTTTCAATAAATTTTGTAAAGTACGATAGTTAAATCGTTAGAAACTAATTAAATGCTGTTTTTTTAACCTGTTTTCCCCATTTTTTGAGGCCCCCACAAGAATATTCTTATTATTTCGCGAGAATATCTTTTATGAAGATTAAATTTTTTATGACTTTTTGTGCTTTTCGTAACCTGCCTTCCCGGTACCCTTAAACAAATTTACTGCTCGTTTGTAATGTTTTTGTGGATATTTTTGTATTTCCATTCCGCGGCATTCCAAATTACACCCAATTTCAGCTCAATGACGATCTCATATTCGGGGAACTTCTTCCGGTTGCTCGCCCGGTGGAAGGGGTCCATATGGCGGTCGACGTGGAAAGAGCTGCTCATCTACCTCGCATTATACTACGCTATAAAGTCGGTATTAAAGCTGTCTTGAACAGGAAAACTACTAATTAATTTTTAGCCTACGATATCTTGATTCAGAATCTAAATTTTTCAGATTTTTCTACATGGAGGGTATCGATATGTTTTTTGACACGGACAAGTCGAGGCACGAGGCAAAGTAAGGGATTTTCGATACCTTTAACGAACTTTTTAGGCGCTACTTCATCGGGATGTGCCGCCAGTTCAACGAGTACACCAAGCTGATCCCGCTCACCTTTTTGCTCGGCTTCTACGTGTCGAATGTCGTGGGAAGGTGTGAGAAAGTGGCTGCTCCCAGAAACAAACTAGCAAAGATCATTGAGGAATTTTTTTGAAAAAACTTTTTTAGGCTATTTGAACCATTTTTCAGGTGGTGGCGCCAGTTCGAATGCTTAGCGTGGCCAGAGGATCTGCTCTCGCTGCTCGTGTTGGTGATCCCCGGGGAGGACGAGAGGAGTCAGAGGAGACGGCACGTCATCGCCAGATACCTCAATCTCACGTCAGCGCTGGCTTGGTGAGTGACTTTCAAGAGGTTTGCCTACCTCGACGCGACTGCAACATATCCGACACGTGTGAGAAAATTTTTTAAAGGGATGGTGCCTCCAGGAATCCACCGAGACTTCCAGTCATGCTCCTTTCAAAATTGAGCCCAATTTCAATTTTCAAGTTAGCCAGTAGTAATGCGTCTACAAAATGTATGTAGAAGATGCTCTAGGCGTGACGTCTCGTCAAAGCTGCGACTCCGCTTCCCGAAAGTCCGTGACCTCATCGACGCCGGGCTGATGACTGAGCAGGAGTATGTACTGCTCGAAGATGTCCATGTGGGTTCTAGCATTTTTTGCGGTAAAAATGACGTCAAATCCGGGCCGTACAGACTACAAAATTTCCAGGCCTCGTGCGCGTCGGTGCGCTGGATGGCACCGCTGCAATGGGTGCAGCAGATCATGATGGACGAGGTCAAGGTGGGGTTCGGGAGCACGAGCTTGAACTGGCTTCATTTTCTGAATGTGTTGAATGAGAGAGATTTATGTAAACTAGAAAGAAGAAAAATTACTATTTTCAGGACAACAACCCGACCGCCTCGATCGTCAACAACTTTATCACCGAGCTGAAGCTGTACCGGCAGTCGTTCCGCAAGATTTTCTGCCACGACTGGGTGTGCGTGCCGCTCGTTTATACGCAGGTATGCAACGAGATTTCGACAGGCTAAGAAATTTCGTCGCCGAGCGCGGGCCTCCACGCGTCGTCAGAGCGCACGGAACGCGCACGGAACGCTCACGCAACGCTGTCCTTGCCAAGTGCATTGAATCTTATCTAAAGGCGCTGCACACATGCTCAATTGTCGAAGTTAGCGCCTAGACGCCGCACGGTCTAGGTGTACATAGACGCATGGCGTAGTCCATTCTGGACCGCTACGTGGTGAACCTTTGGACACGCCCACTTCATGCGCGCGTCGCGTACCACCATTTCCCGATTTTTTTTTCAGGTGGCCGCCTTGGCGACGTACGCCTTCTTCTTCTTCTGCCTGTTCGGACGTCAGTATTTCCACCAGGACGATACTGTGAGTATTTTCAACTGCTGAACAATAGCGGTTCGTGCTCAGCGTTAAGCGCGAGTATTGGCTTGGTTTTTGTGGGCTCAACGATAGCTCATTCTCATTCCAGGTCGACCTCAAGGTGCCCATCTTCCTGATCGTACAATTCCTGTTCTTCGTCGGCTGGTTCAAGGTGGGCCAAGATCTGATGCGGCCATTCGGAATGGACGACGACGACATCGAGCTGAACTGGATCCTCGATCGGAATATTGCCTGCTCGTTCGCCATCGTTCACAAGTTGATCAACACCCGGCATCGTGGGTTTTTGAGCGTGAATTCGAGCGGCGAGAAATTCGAGGAGTAAATCGGACATTTACTAGCGTGATCTATTAATTAATTCCTAACTTTTCCACGACGTTCCTAATTACAGCCGAGCTCGGCGAGGGCAACGAGGACATCTTCTGGAAGAGCCGCGGGGAGCACATCGAGATCCCGAAAACTGGCCGACAAGACAAGCTCGAGACCCATCGGCCCAAGCTGCACGCCTACGTTCGGTAAGCGGATGGCCTAAACAGACCTCGAAACTGTCCCACTAACTTTCCCACACCCGCTAATCAACGTATTTAAAGGTTGCCGACGCTAACGCGGCTCAGGTAGGCCCGTTTCCGGTTTCCGGTTTTGTTATCGTGGCTTTACTCAGGTTTCGGCATCTATGGCGATTAACGGGTGCTGTTCCATCTCGCGGTTCCATTTCCATATAAAATTCCGCTAAAATCCGCGCTCGTTTGCCCCCAAAAAATTTATTTTCTCAAAGATTTTCTGCTGGTTTGCCTGCCAATTTCACAAATTTTCCACAAAAGCTGCGGAATGTCATTTTTTAAATGGTACTGGGCGGACAACAGGTGGTTTTTAGCAGGAGGAAACCTAAGAGCAGATAAACCCCCCCGATAACAGCCCACTCCCGTTTTAATCATTGCATCAACGAATCCAGCCAGTCTGTCAATATATACAACTGTTTAGGCGTGAATTTCACATTGACGAAAACAATAAAAACTATCCAAAATAAGCAACTTTCTAAAAAACAATAAAATTTAGGTTTTTTCTGCGGAAAAAGGGATTGAATACGATAACTTAGTCCTCGAAAATGGAACAGTACCAAATTAACGAACGGGCGATACTTGTAGTGTGGAGTGTGTCCGTCCGGAAAATCATTACCCCCAAAAACGTCCATAGAACTCACCGGATTTTGTGATGGTTTGGGCGTGTTGTGGCCGGAATCTTGATCAAGCGCGTTTTATGGTTCGCTTTAGAATGCCCAACTCGGACGTGCCGGACGATGAGAAGGGGGATCACGTGCTCCGAAGCTGCGCGGCGATCACCCGTACGTTTTTGTGGTGGTGTAAGTGAAACTAAAAATGTTTTTTGGGCTTCAAAACTCTAATTCAATTAGGGATAAATTAATCTAGACAGTTCCTCTGCGAATCATTTATTCACGTCATTTGCAGGCATCTCTCCTGGTGATGATCCTCCTCCAAAAACTGCCCCTCCACAAAATACCGGTGCTCTCCCCAAAGAATGTGATGCTGCATGGATGTCCCAAGAATTATTGAATTGCATAATATTATGGAATGATTTTATATTTTTATGTTTTTAAAGAATTCTTCTCAAGATATAAATATATTTTTGCCAATGCTCTTTTGTAAAATTGTGCTCAAGGGTTCCTATCGTAGCAGATCAGGGAAAGAACTTTGGAATTGAGCGATAGGTTAGGTGTGACATTCCTGTGGATGACTACCGACGTATCCGACCTCCAAAAGTGTGGCTTTCGATATAAAAACTAAGTTTTTGACGATCAATCGCAACCGAACTCTTCTTGGCGGAGTCTGGAAATGCCTAGTAACTTTCAATAGTAAATTTTGCTCAGTGTTTTTTAGTAAAATATGCCTCTGATTTGAACTAGAAAAATATCTAAAAAATGTTTGAAGCCGAACTTTGGCCAAAATCGGCCCCTGTAAAGCAAAAAAATAATTTTAAAATCTTCAGTAAAGATGCTTAACGTTTGTATTTGTGGAAACAGTGCAAAAAAGCTTAAAAATACTTCCGTTCTTTCAATCAGAAAAATTGGATCCTAGGAAAAACATGAGTCTCGCCCCCGATAATGCAATAGAAGGGGCTTGAGAAGAGCTCAGCCTTACGATGACCTCTATTTTATACTCCAGTTTGATGCTTCGTGTTTCGCGCCATAACCTGGGCCCTTCTAAAAATATCCAGATGGCTCGAAATCGATCGTGTTGCGTCGCTGACCTATTTTCCAGGGTTAATGCCGCCGGAGGGCATTACCGGACTCGCTACATTAATATGCGTGATGGCAGATGGCAAGGGCATGGTGCAATCGGGCCACTTTCTGGAATCATCTTCATAATCGCACGGGGTTCTGATCTTTCTCAGTTTTTACGAGAGACTCCCCCCCGACCGGCCCCATTTGTATCCATGACTCCCATGCCCCTACGAGAGGCTGTAAAGTATAAAAAAAAAATACTCGCCAATCCAAGACGAACATTTTCGGATACCTTGTGGCGCAAGGGGGAGCCGAGATGCAAGAGTTGGCCGCAGGCTGGGGTGGGGGTTATCTGCAGTTTACCCAACAACAACCCTAAAATCCCGAATCTAACCCCCCCCCGGAGCTAGTTCCGGGTGATGCGTACGTAGCTCCGGAGTTCCGTGTGACCGTAAATAGGTGTGCTTCGTTTTTTTCGTTTCCTGCAAATAACTCGATTCCCGAATCGTATTTCTGCAATTTCGAATGCATATTTTTCACATTCCGACTGTTTGCAGTATTTTGAGTGGACTAGCGACAGAAATTGATACAGGAATTTCTGATAACCGCTCCTTTTGTCATACATAGCTTTTGCGGCGGGCGGTCGGGGGCGCACGTTATTAGAGCGTCATTTGTATTGGTACGTGGTCAACTTGTTCCGGAACTATACTCGGGATCTTAGGGTATTTACGAGGATTTACAAGGAATAATTTCAGAAAACCATGGTCTCAATCGGGAAGGAAGAGGAAAAGCTGGAAGCTGGCGATCTGAAACCAAAAACCGATATGTCAAGTCTGGAGGAGGGAGAGGTGGAAATGCGGTACGTTTTGAAAGGAATCAATGGAGGTAGATAGTAGAAGTGTAAGGCTGTACAATCGGCATAATAAATCTCCGTTTTTGCTTTGCTAATTTTCGCTAATCACGTTTACATTTTTTTCAAAACACGAAAATTTTCAAAATTATGATAAGTTTTTATGAACATTGAAAGATATAAAAACTGTTTAAAATACTTTTTGAAATTGTTGGTATTTCGAAATAGGCCGTACGGAAAGTACAGGGGCAAGCGCTTCTCTAACCACTCCGTTAAACGTGAAGAAACGCAGCCCTAACGAGTTGTGTTTTAGGGAATCCATGCTGGCAACATACTCAAAAAAGCTGTGGGGTATTGTGCAAGGAGGATGGAATTGGGCACCCATTTTGCGCACAAAGCGCGAAAAATGGATCATTTTCGGCGGCACGGTCAGTTTTACACTCATCCGTTTTTCGGAGCTTTGGGCGTTTTTACAATCTTGTTTTTGCAGTTGTATACTGAAGGGTGGTTCGGAAACTACACATCGCAGGAGCTGCTCTTTGACCGAATCTCGCCCGCCCCATCGAATCGTCTTGTGTACATCGTAGGTTTTATATTTTCGAGGTCACTTGAAAGTTGCCACAATTAAACCTAGCAAAGCCATTTTCAGCGTGCGCGCGACTGGAAACCATTCATCGCGAATCCGATCCCTTGCTCAGCCTTGTATGTCCACTTTGAAACGCGAGATGAGCAAGTTCGGGTGGTCGCCCAACTCCTAGACGTTTATCCAGACCCGAACCAGCTTGTGTACAGTAAGAGCGAGGAGGTAGGTCCCACTCGTTTAATTTACTAAAATCGACGGTTTGCGACGCCAACAAATTGGTTCTCTCGCATTATCGTGGGGGAAGGGGGGAAGAGGTGGGGAACAGAGCTTTTTGTACATTTTAACTTGAAAAGCTATCTAAAAAATTATAAAATGTGAAAAATCGGAGATTTGATCGAAAAATCGACGTGAAAAAAATTTGGTTGCCCCTCCCCGATGGACGGGGCACCCAAGACCAGGGTTTCTTATCAGGTCGTGGGATCCCTGTCGATGTGTTCCTGCGGTTTCCAGACATCTGTTTATATGGAACCCTGAGCCTCCGCGGACACTAATGATAAAAACCTATTTAGGCACTAATGTCGTCAAGCTTGTGATCCCTTGGCCTAGATTTAAGCTATTTATTGCATGATGCTAAAACGTTTTATTTATTTATTTTTTAGGAACGTGATTCGGATAATAAAAATTGCATAGCGCAAGGACATAACTAATGGGCCATAAAACTACGTTTTTAATATGCTTACGAAAAACTGTAAGCCGTCAAAAACTGGTTTTGGTCCTATTTTGTTCTCATGTTTATAAAATTAGACGGCTTCTATTTAAAAAAACTTCAAGTGATGGAAAATGCGCCTTTGCGAGCACTGCAATCCCTGCTAGTTGACTTGACGTCAAACTTGACGAGGGCCGAGATAATAGCGTTCAAAAGGTCTATCGTTATGACACACAGTGGAGCGTCCGACTAATCCTTAAAATTCGGTTTCCGTAACTTAACCTTTTAAGTCTTGGTTTGACGATTTTTAATTCCGTCATCTTTAAAATCAAACGTTCTGTTGGAGCTATCGAGCCTAGGTTTAGTTTTAATAGTAAAAGAAATCACAAAACAACTTATTAACTATTTCTTACGATGGATCCTATAGTAAGTCTACGACGCCATTAATGCTCGAACACGTCGAAAATTCACTCTGGAATTCTTTCTCCATATTAGCAGATGTCTCGGGGTCAGAGAACAGAGACATTTTTGAATTACTCCAGGTGAGCGTGATAAGAAATCCCGCGCCTTGAGTACCCTATCCCTCCCCGATAACCCCTGATAATGCGAAAGGAACCAAAATTCATTATTAGAACGCTAAATTGGAAAGTGAGCATGCAGTGCAACTGGTCGAAGAACAAATTGATGCCGCGAACACGCAAAACTTTGAAGCGCTCGACGGTTGCCGCGGGGCAAATAAGGCTGTATTGGATTGGAGTCTGTATGAAAAGCGGTCGTGGCGCAAATGGATAGCCGGTGCACGGATTCTGATGCCTATTGGCGGAAATTGTGCGACTGCCGCAAAGTGGAAGGTGTGAACGTAGTTTTTCTTTAGAATTTATATCCATTATGCAGAAAGACTGTATTGCCGCTGGATTTGAAATGAAGACAGTGACGGTTCGTACGCAATACGGTAGCCTAAAAGTGGAGGCGTACGAGAATAAGGATGGACATCTCATCGAAATACAGCACAAAAGACTGTCGGGCCAACCAATTGCCAGATGGTGAGCTCTCTCTCTGTCTCTCTCTCTCTCTCACTCTCTAATCCTAACTCACTCCCTTGCCCTGTCTCCCCCTTTCTAACCTCCCTGACTTTCGGGCCAACCAATTGCCAGATGGTGTTTTCTCTCTTTCTATCTCTCTCTCTCTCACTCTCTCTCTCTCTATCTCTCCCTCTCTCTCTCTCTCTCTCTCTCTCTCTAACTCTCTAACCCCCAACCCAGTATTTTCTTAGTTATACGGTAATGCCGTTGGTGGCCGTTCCCGGGATCGCCGATGTTTATGAACGATTGGTCGATACAGAAGTGTATCAACTTGACAGGCGGAAGGTACGTGAAAAGAAATTCCGGTCGCGGTCTTGTTCAATACCACAATGTTGGCCAAGCCATCCCGCCTCAAACCCACGAAATGGCGAATCATTATCGACCTTTCACGCACTTCTTTTTAGCTATATTTTGAATAATAACCCATTCCAGATTGGCGCGAATTGTCAGCGATGACATCGTGTGCTCGCGGTGTACGAAAAGGGTGCGGAGTATGTTGCCCTCCATCAACAATCACCATCTGATTATCTTTTTTCCAACTCATTTGTACACCTTCAACTTGACCGGCTTTTCTCTTTCATCGTATAAACTGATTTCTAATGATTTCGTAGGGATTCGGCGCTTTAGTACGGTCCAGAAGTGGACGATTTCCGATTTCGACCAAGAGTACAGGGGTGTCCTCAAAAAATTACAATTTACAAGGCAAAATATCTAGAAATATCTAAAAAACGACTCCCTGTCGGTCGATCGGGACGGCTCTGGACGATCTGGACGGCTGGACGTTCATCTTCATCGATCCAGCACAAACCTTTCAATGATCTTTGGCGCCACAATCGAGGATACCCCTCAAGCCTGAGGGTGACCTCTTGCTGCCCTGTAACGTTGCCCAGGGCATCATCAGATCGATACCTTGATTCAAATGTCGGCAGCGGGCCCGTTGCGTCGGCTCATCTTGTTTCGTTATTTATTAGGATCATCGGCTTCTGCTCTTTCTCAGATTTCAAGTTATTGAAAAGGCAATTAAAACTTCCTGCTAAATTAATACAATCCCTCTGAAAAGCGAGTCGTTTTTAGATGATACTCGGAGTTTCTCGACAACTTCGCTAGTTCTCGGTTCTGGATGTTAGCAGGGGGAGGGGGGCGAAGGGAGGGTGAAACCAAATTTTGCCTGTGATTCTCTACGACCCAATCGCAAAATCTAAACCTTGTTGATAGAATTTTAAATAGTTTTTAGACATAAAACAATATAAAAATAATAAAATTCACGGTTAGAAGATTTAGAGAACGACATCTTACTCAGAAAATCTTTCTTTATCAAACTAGGAAGATCTCCTGCAAAAACTCCAATATTCCGTAAAAACGACCAATTAGATTAGAATAGCCAACGACCAATTAGATACCAATTGTGCAGGGCGGATTTTAGAAGATCATGGCGGCAATCGGGAAGCAAGAGATCGAAGGTCATTCGAAACCAAAAACCGACATGGTTCCTTTGGAAGAGGGAAATGTGGAAAAGCGGTACGTTTTGAAAGGGATCTATGCGTAAAAAAAATTAAAGTAGTCAAAGGAATGGCTTTCTGGTGTCAACGCACTGCCATAACGCGCATTTGAAGCAGCTTCCGTGCACACGCGTGTTGGAACAAACACCTGATTCGTAATTCAGCTCCCGGTTTTTAGTGCTTCATCGCCGGAAAAGTCATCATATTCAAAAATTGTGGGTCTGGTTGTGGAGTCGAGGTGGAGGTCATCGACAATTTCTCATCTCATCGACACAACCCGATGGGTATGGCCGGGCTGCGCAAAGCGCGAGAAATGGATCATCTTTGGCAGTACGGTCAGTTTTTGAATTGGCAATACAATACCATCTGACCTCTTCGTAATATATTCTTCAGTTATACATTGAAGGCAGTTTGGGCGAATACACAGCACAGAAGCTGCTCTTCGACCACATCTCATCCGACGTGCCGGATCGTCTTGTCTACGTCGTCAGTTTTGTGTTTTTCATGCCTTGGTTTGATTTTGGTTAAGCACATTATCCAGTAATTGGAACTTACAACGTTTTAGGAAGTTACACAGAAGGCTTTGTTAGGAAGAACGGGTCTTACAGGGGGAACCTCAGTCTCAGTGCGATTGTAAAACGGAAACAAACAAAAATTGCCAAACTTCATGCTCGATTAAGTTGATTTTTCTGATTCATTTTTTAAAAACGTATATCGCCATCGTATTTAGAATTTTTTCGCTATCGAATGAGGTCTTTACCTCAAAATTGCCAAAAATTGAAAAATTTGACGATTTTCACCCGGTATGGCCTGCAATTTTTGCATGGGACTTGGCAAACATTGCGTATTTCACACGCTGGTGAACTGCGGCCCAGTAGCACCCATTTTTCAATAAAATCCACCTTTTGAATCAGAAAAAATTCACTATCAGATAGGCTATTTGTGATGAATTAGACCAGTGAAACAAAAAAAACGTCATCATGGCCAATCACTTCCCGGGGCCCAGAAACCGCACTTAAATGCTTGATAACTTTTGAATCCAAGCTATTTTTAATTTTTTTGAAAACAATTTTGAAATCATCAGAAAATTCTGCACCTGATCGGCTGGGTCCCATACCCAAATCCCACCGTGGCTTTAGATCCCCGTGGATCCGCCGGGTTTCCTAAAAACGTCGCCCGTTGACTTAAAGGGCTGCCGACGGCATGTGTCGATCCCCCCCCCCATCAACAAATTGGCAAGTAGCCAACAGGGGAGAGAGCGCGCCCAGGGGAGAGGCGCAGAGACATTTTCTTTCCAGCGCGTAACCGATTGACTATGCCGTCAGCATCCCTTTAAATGGATCAACAATTTTCAGCGTGCGGTGGTGGACTGGCAGCCCTTCATCGCCCATCCGATCCCATGCTCATCCATTTATTTTTACTTTGAAAGCCAAGCTGAGGGGGAGGAGGTTCTGGATCAGCTCAAAGATGCTTATGGCCAGCGTAAACCACAAGTGTTAAGCAACTGTGAGAAGGTACGTTCCAACGTGCCTGTGAACACAAAACTATTCTCAGTCTCCGATGGGGCCAGGGTTGAAAAAGCCGGGTGCACCTGATAAATGAGATCTTAGAACGATCATGAAGGTCGTGAACATGACCGACAAATGTGGGCAAAACTGACGACAACTCACTCCAAGCACGTGCTCCAAAAGCTTCCAGTGCTGGCTGGGTGCCAGTCGGCACGCAGGCATATGTCGGATGCGCGTTGGGCTGAAAAGCTAAGGTGGAAGGAATGGCTCGACGGTTCCTCGATGAGACAAGCTGATGCTGGGAATTGCACAACGGCTGCAATGTGGCAGGTATAGAAGTCACTAACTGTAAAGTGTTTTTACTCAGGCTGGGGTTTTGGGATGGGACCAAGCATATCCTGTGCAGAATTTTTCGCTGATTCCGAATCTGGTTTCCAAATCTGCTGCCGACCTTTATTTAAAAATCTATTCGACATTTATACAAAAAAATTGCGAAAATGGATTTTATACGTTATGTTTAAGCTGTCGTCATCTTCAACGTGAAACTGGCAATTTTATGCAAAAAAATATGTGTTTTTTTTATGCAAAGAGCAAAGGAAGGGATTCGAACCGCCACTATGTGCTTGGCAAGCGAACACCTTGCCAATGCACCATGGTGCCAACTGGGCAGGGGGCTTCGAGAAGGTAGATAAGGGGCATGCAGGGCCGTAACAAACCCGAAATTTCGGGGGAGGGGCGGCGCAAAAGATTCTTCACAATTTTGACCAAAACTGCAGCGCCGCAGGCAAAACTTTTGAAAACATAGGGTTTATAACATTGAAACTAGTGCTAAAAATAGCCAAAAACAGCGCCCGAGGCAAAAAAAAATTTTGGAAAAATAAAATCATAAGGGACCCCCCTTATGAATTCTGACGAATCCTTATGAATCCTTATGAAAACCTCCCATTCTAAAATGCCAGCCTGAGTAAAAACGCTTTACAGTAAGTCACTTCTCATTCCGCTTTTCCTTTATGTTATGTTTTTTTGTTGCTGCATCCCCCATCTTCCCCAAGGCTAAACGATTTAAAGCACAATCAGCTCTCTCAAAACTAACAATAAGATAGCTTATTGCAGAAGGACTGTCTGGCCGCTAACTACAATATGAAGATAGTGACTGTCCGCACGCCACTCGGTCGCTTGCAAGTGGATGCTTATGAAAATAAGAATGGACACCTCATCGAAATTCAACACCAACGACTTCCAGGGGTTCCAACAACGAGATGGTGAGGGTTTCTCTATCCATTTCGCTCTCTCGCTTTCCACCCTATGACACTTTTGTAGCCATACCATAATGCCTCTGCTGCCTGCTAGCAAGTTAGACGGTGTATATGAGCGATGGATCGATTCAACAGAGTGCCAACAAAAGGTGGAAGGTCGGTCACTCGCTGTCGATAACGTTTTTGAAGGGGGACTGGCATTGAACTTGCTGCGGTCTCCGGATTGGTAGGCTAGAACACATGCAGTCCACCACGGCCCCGGGCACACTTCCAGGCGGCGGGTCCGAGTTCGATTCCTCCCGGATCTCGGTCTATCTTCAGAAGCCTATTTATTTTTGGCTCTTTTTTGCAATCGATTTAGCGCGTTCTCTAGATACGGTTTGATGTTTTCAATTTTTTATTTCTGACTGTAACCCTCTTATGTTGACCGTGGGATTTCGTTATGGGAGATAGCACACCTTGTGCAGAATTTTTCGCTGATTCCGAATTCGTTTTCAAAAGTTGCGGAACCCCTCGGAAAACAGGTTAAAAATCGAATTTAAATTGGGGCGAATCTGGTCCATGGCGCCCCTGGGGGGTTCAAAGAGGCTCCCCACCGCTACCCTTTCAGCAACTCGCTGGTACAATGGTTAGGCGCTGGTTTCTTGGGCAGGCTGCCACTGGTTCGACCCCTGCCGCGGTCCCTTTTTTTGCCTTTGCATTTTTTTATCGGAAACTGGTGTGACGCTGTTCCGGAACATGATATCGTTTGCCACAAGTCAAAGCCGATTTAGTTCAGTGGTTTTGGAGCAATTTTTCCAGAGACTGCAACTTTGTTCTCAATTCCATCCACAAAAACTAGCGTTTAGGCTCTCGAAAATATGCACTCCCCCCCTAATTCGACCTGCTTTTACAGGTGCCGTCAAAAAACAGCTACCAAAAACTAGGACAAGCTATAATGGCGGCTGTTTGGATGGCTCGCAGACGGTCTTTTAATAACTGATTGCAGATAGACGTCAACTAAGGCAGATGGCGGCGTGTGCTCTAACTCTTTACCAAGAGGGTGCTGGACGCTGTTGCCCTCCATCGAAAATCAATATTTGAACTTCTATTGTTCCTATTCGCCCGTTTACCTCCATTTTTTTCATTAACCGGGTACACAGGATCGAAGGGCGGGAGGAAATAACGGGGGCAATCAAAGTTTTTATGATAAAGTAGTTTTAAATATGCGCTTTTCGGGCTGTAAAAGCTCTTAGTATATTTTTCGGCCCTCTATCGAATGGCATTTTCAAAATATCGAAAATATGCAAAACGCCGAAAATACGTTCCCCCCCCGTTATCCTATGTGCTGCCCATAGTCTTCAAAAATAGTTTGTAGGCTATAAAACTTTTATAATACATTTTTTTCCGTTGTATTAAAGCAATCTCTTCGTATATTTTTTGACGTTCTATCGATTGGCGACTTCAAAATATCGAAAAACTCAAAAATTTGGCTTCCCCACCCCGTTATCCTATGTGCTGCCCATAGATTTTGCTCAATTTTTGTTTATTCAATAAAAAATTTCTATTACATGATTTCGGGCTGGAATCATTCTCTTAATATATTTTCGGCGTCTTTATCGAATGGCACTCGCAAATCCACAGTAATTGCCAAATTTCATAAAAATGAGTGCCCCCGTTATTTTATCCCCCCCCCTGCTATCCTATGAGTTACCCATTAATCGTATAAAGATGTAGTAACGAGTTCTTATCAACAATGTAAACTTTTCAAATTTCCGCACCCTCCCATCCACCACATATTGGTAAAGCCGTCCACTGGCAGGGCCAAGCGCTTTTACTATTCCGGGAATACCTTTCCACGGTTCCTCCGCCCTGCCTTTAATCTCTTGTTCTCACTCTCTTGGTCCTCCATTCCTTTTCCCGCTCCGGATTGCGTATATATTTGAGCGAGCAGCCGAATAAATCCCTCTCTATGACCGACCACAGAAATCGCACTGCAGTATTTGCACGCCGTTTTGCACAAGGCCTACAGGAAAATGGCAATTTGGCGACCGGCTGGGGAACAATCAATCCGCATTCTTCAAAACCCGTATGACACACTGTAGGCGCTTACTGATGAAGATTCGGGGAAGGGGCCTGTCTCGCCTTCATTTATTTGAACTCCAGCTTTATGATTCGTATTTGGCGCCACGGGGACCTTTTCTAAACCCGGATGGTTTCGGCACCAGCGTCTTTGGTCGGACTTAGATTAAAGAGTTAACGTTGCTCTAGGG